TTCTTTTACCAATCTCTCTTTCGTCAAGAGATATATCCAGCCAAGAGCGGCAAAGTTTAGGGTGGTGGTATCATTTTCGCTCATCCGTGTGTCATTTACTGGTTGTGGTGTGTGCGATGAGCCCGCATCCGCCGTGTTAGTGCATGTTGAGGTTTTTGCATATGCGCCTGCAGAGCTGGGCCCTGGTCGGACGCCATTTATGAGGTGGGTTTTATCGAAGGCTGAGGTATGCTCAGCCGCTCCAGAGTCCAGCGAAGGTCCCACTAACCCCCACCAAATAAAACACAATGATTTGTGTATTAAGTCGAACACACCCACACACACAAGCGGCTATCTAGAATATCGGAAAATTGTCGTGCAGGGGAGAGAGGGAGGTAGCGATGTACGGGATGCGCCATAAAACTCATTTTCACACCTTCACCTGCATTCATTAAAAAAAAAACAACGTTGCCCGCGGATTAGGTCTACTGGGAAACCACGTTAAAAAAAGCGCCGAAAAACTCTACCTCAGCGGTGGTTTGGAAATGAGTACATCGCTATGCTTATCGCGAAGCCGATCGTGGTCTACCTAAGCGTCGTACAAAAAAAATGTAGGTACAAAAGGTGTGGAGAAGGAAATACTCTACAACCGTGGAATTTCATTATGCTATGTATTTTCAACAGAAATTAAAAAAAATGGCGAAAACGGTGACAAAGTGTAATTTTTTCGCAGTTCTTGCAAATTTTTTAAGATAAAAAATGTTATTTTTAAAAAACATTCTTAATAACAAATGTGAGATATTAAGTTCTCTACTTATTTGTGTAAAACTATTTTTTACGAAAAATGCAAAATAGCTTTCAAATCGCAAAATACCCAAAAAAATAAAATCCAAGATGGCGGAATGTTGCCATATAAAACTTAGGAGCGAGACTGTGGATTCATGATCTACGAGCCAAATAGAAGTAAACTGCATCAAAAAACTGCTGTTACAATTTTTTTTTTCCTACCAAATTTATCTAATTTTACTGGGATAATCGCTATGTTTGGCTCGTCCCTGCCGTGATCTAAGCGTCGCACAAAAAAAATTTTGGTATAGAAGTTGTGAAGAATGAAATTCTCTACAACTTTGGAATTTCAATATGCTATGTATTTTCTATGATACAAAAAGAAGTTGGTTTCAATAAACAACGTTTGACGCATAATAAAATTTTTTGAAGTTTCATAAATTGTGAGGATTCGCAACGGCCTTGCCACTTTGATAATATTAAACCAATAAATCGGAGTATTTTCTTTCCCCCATTTATACCAATTTAATAATATTTCATATCAAAAGTCATTATCAGCGCTTGGTATTTTTTTACTTACGCGGTTCGCACTTTTTTTCATTAAAAATATATAAAATATGTAATGTTAAAGGAGACTTCATTGAAATTGTTCTTTTTATTTCATAATAAAAATCACGAGAGCATCATGTTGTTATTTTTTCATTCTCTTATATCAAATGAAATCTTGCGATTTAAAAATCTAATTCTAAAGAATGCTCTTTCCAATAAATCTATTTATAATCGCCAATTCCATGTGAATAAATTGTTCTCATAACTTAGCATGAAAAACAAAAACAAATTGGCAAAAATTATTTTTGTTTTGCTTTCTTAATTTGGGAATATTTGTTCACATGAAATTCGTGATTCGTGATGAAATTCGTGAAAATTTACTTTTAAATTTCCGGTCAGATTTTGCAACAAATTAGGCTTTGTGGTTAGCGTATCACCATTAACTTCAACAAATTTCGAATTTAAAATTTCCAATGTACCTATTCCAAAAACTTGAATTCGGCTTGCGCAGACCGCCCTCCGATAAGCAATTAGCATAAGTATAATTTTGATCAGTTTCTTCATCCGTTATGAAACCTACCATTAATTTTCAGGATGAAATCTTCTGCTTAAAAAAAATACTACTGCTCGTGATCAGGTAGCATGAA